ATTATGAACATTTTAGAAGTATATTGTAGCTATACTTCTGTACATTACCATCAAAAAATTTGGGATCGATAACTCTTATGATCACCAGGCATGTATTTAATAAAATTCCAATGAAACACACCTCTTCCATCTTCATTTGACCCTCTAACTCTAGCACTCTCTATTCTAATTCTATTTGATCTATTTCTTTTATTTTTTATTTAAAAAAACCACTTGACCCTCTAACACTTGCACTCTCTATTCTACTTCTAATCTAACTACTTGTTTTCTTTAAAAAGAGAGAGAGAGCCTGTAACACTAGTGTTCCCTATTCTTTTTCTATTCTATCTACTTGTTTTCTTTTTATTTATTATTAAAAATGACCCACTAACAATAGCATTCTCTATTCTTTTTCTATTCTTTTGACTTGACTTGGTTTTGATTGCTTCTATTGTCCTCATTTGTAAGTCACTTTGGATAAAAGCATAAATGCTAAATGACTTTTTTTAAATATAATAAATAATATTATTACAAAAAAACTCTGTTTTCTATTTTAATTTTTAGAAATCATTCTAATATGATGATTAGGGTTCAATTATCTAAAAAGTATTAATTTCTTTCAATCAATGAACCAGTCAATCAAATAAATAAATAAATAATACAAATATAGATAATTATAATAAGTTTTATTTATGTAATTTTAAATGTTATTTTCAGTTCTTGTTTAAAAACACTGATTTAGCAAAGTTTGCAAATGAGACTTATTTAAAATGTTGGTCATAGCCTACTTTACTTTGGGGACCAATTCTCTCTATTAACTATTAACTACAAAAATTTGCCTCAAATTATTTAGTTAAGGTATTTGTTAAGTTTAGGTGTGGAATTGGTCATGCAGAATAAGGCATTAATATGTGCTTTATAAACAGCCGATATGCTAGTAATATGCATGCTAATAAGCAACTAGTTAATAGTGAGAATTGGTCCTTAAACTATTAGTGTTACCAAAATTTTGGCATGCTTAATTAATGTAGGAAATGTATCTCTTTTTTCACAATCCATCCTGTGCATTGAGTTCACATATGGCCAATGAATTTCAAAGATCTTTTTTTACTCATTTCCGCTTGAAAAGCCTGTGGCATTTTCGATCCAGGGATGGTTCCTCTAATCACATTAAACACACAATAAGATTTGTTAACGGCACAATGAGATGAATCGCCTTGGTGAAGCCAGATGCCTTGATAGGTCATGTGTATGGTCACCATGGTAACACAGGGTCATTGGAAAAGTGGGCCAATCATCCTTCTGTTCTCCTAGTGGCTGCTATGTGGCGAGATGCCTGTCTCTAGGACACATAAGAGTCTCATCCATGCATCATAAACAAATCCCTTGATGCAGTATAGGTTCAGGTATAATAATGCAAAATGTATCCAAGATTGTGCAAATGAGGGCCATCTTTAGGATGTGCTAACATTTCATAATTGAGCTTATTCAAACTTGCACATTTTATATTCCTAATGAGCCTCCAGGGAAGAAAACTGCAGACTAAGAGCTATTCAACAGCAGTTTATAGGTATTATATTCTAAAAAAAAAAATGCTTTTTTTCTTTCAGCACGTTGTGTTCATGCGTCCTTTTCTGCAGTATGGGAAAATATCATGAATGCAATCGTTTCTTTTCTCAGTTTGTTTGCTCTCTGCATGTGGTAGGCTACTGCCTCAGCCTGCATTGCGTTTTTCCACTGGAGGTTTTGTTTTGATGCCTATTTAATCAGACCCATGTTCTGTGTGTTAACATTAGATGTCTTGCAGATGCACGCTTGTTTTTCATTATCCCTATCTCTATCAACTGAATCTAGATGCAGGGTCTGGACTAAGACAGACCTCATTAGTATTAAATAAGGGTTTGTATTTGTAGCCGTCAGACTAGGCAGGACATAATTGGAACTAACTATATTTTATCTGCTTGTAGAACTGGCAGTTCAGGAATCAGTATGCGTATACATGAGTAAACATGGTATACAAGCAAACATTCATTTTTTTTTTATCAAATTGCTATATATTTTTAAGTAAATTTTTATTATGTTGTGGAAGAATCCAAAACTTGCGAAAGGCCCTATGGTTTTGAATGCCTTAAACATTTGCTGACACCAGCTTGCAGACAAACACCAGAAGGCCGTCACTCATTATCATAACCCCCATAGGACTACATGTTGTTTGAAGCCTGTTGCTTTGATAAGGTTTGTTACTTGTTATAAATCCCATTTCCATTTTGAGGTGAATTTCACTAGATCCCCTTGGCAATGATTCATTTGAACAGCTCAAAAGCACACACTACAATGATTTGACTCTTATTGGTTGTCTAGTCACATGGATACTTCTCATTTTAATGTCAGTGTTGCATTATAAATGACAAGTAGTCTGTTAGTGCAAGTCTGTAGCGGTGGGAAAAGAATAAAAAGGCTATTGAGAGCAGATGAATCCTCAAGATGTGTGAGGGGTGGGAAGGTACAGGCTGGTAGAGAAGGGACTTGGTTATAAGATATGTTGGGCTGTGAGGGGAGGGATGAGATCACTGTGTTGGGCTGTGAGAGCTGACATGGGATTACTGTGTTGGGCTAAGAGGGGAGAGTCTAGCTCACGGGGCTGGGCTGTGAGGGAAGGGCCTAGATCTCTGGACTAGGAAGGAGGGATGGGATCACTGTTAGTGGTGAGTCTAGATCACTGTGCTGAGCTGTGAGGGGAAGGTCTAGATCACTGTGCTGGGCTGTGACAGGAGGGTCTAGATCTCTGGACTAGGAGGGAGGGATGGGATCACTGTTAGTGGTGAGTCTAGATTACTGTGCTGGGCTGTGAGGGGAGGGTCTAGATCACTGAACTGGGAGGGATGGGATCACTGTTAGTGGTGAATCTAGATCACTGTGCTGAGCTGTTAGATTACTGTTCTGGGCTGTGAGGGGACTAGATCTGTGGACTAGGAGGGAGGGATGGGATCACTGTTAGTGGTGAGTCTAGATCACTGCTGGGCTGTGAGGGGAGGCTCTAGATCACTGAACTGGGAGGGATGGGATCACTGTTAGTGGTGAATCTAGATCGCTGAGCTGTGAGGGGAAGGTCTAGATCACTGTGCTGGGCTGTGACAGGAGGGTCTAGGTCTCTGGACTAGGAGGGAGGGATGGGATCACTGTACTGGCTGTGAGGGGAGGGTCTAGATCGGTTGGTTGTGAGGGGTGAGATGTGATCATTGTTGGGCTGTGAGGGTTAGGTCTAGATCTCTGGACTGGGAGGGAGGGGTTGGATCACTGCTGGGCTGTGACAGGAGGGTCTAGATTGTTGGACTAGGAGGGAGGAATGAGATCACTGTGTTGGGCTGTGGGGGGTGGGTCTAGATCACTGGGCTTTGAGGGAGGGATTTGATCACTGTGCTGAGCTGTGAGGGGAGGGTCTAGATTTCTAAGCTGGGCTGTGAGAGGAGGGTCTAGAGTTCTGGACTGGAAGGGAGGGATTGGATCACTGTGCTGGGCTGTGAGGAGTCAGATCACTAGGCTGTAAGGGGAGGGTCTGGATCACTGTATTGAGCATGTTCATTTTTTCAAATGTGTCTGTATGTCCTGCTGATGGCAGCACTTTCTTTTGTGCACTGCTGTTTCTCTGTGCCTCCTCTCGTCGACAGGCTTAACTTTGGAAAGAGAGAGTGCATCAGTGCATGAGAGAGAGATCTCACTTTCACTTGTCCTTGTGGACTACTGCATTCATCATGGAGAAATTGGTACCATTTCTACCTAACATACACACATACAAACTGAGGAACATTTAACCCATATTTTAATGTATCTGAATAGGTTTTCCCTGTATTACAGTAATAGAGCCTTTAAGTTCATTGCTCATGCATGACCTACCAATAACTAGACAAATACATAATAGGAGAGTCTAACAATGCAGCAATTTCTGCACTTCTTTTGTTTTGCTTCTGCAATTACTTCAGGGTGAAGTGTGCAACTTTCCAGTGCTAAAATGCTTTCTCCTAACCAAGTTTAATGTTCAGAGACAATTTGAAGGAAAACATTTCGAATGTAGACTTCTGTCATTGTCTGGTCCGATGGTGTGATTTTTGGGGCAGGACTAGCTGTTTGGCTAATAATGGGAATTTAGGCCAAATGACCACAAGTCTGCCCACTGTAGGTTGTAATGTGTGTTGGTAAAAAATAAATAAACGTATAATACATTCTACCATCTTTTCATTTTGCACATGACACTGAGACTGATACCGATTGCTTTGATGCTGTTATCTGCAATCAGACGAACACAAGCAGCACAAGAGCTTGAAAGAAAGCTGCAAGTGATGAAAGCTGAGGCAGGCACTCCGCCACGGTCTGTCTCTGTTAAACCTGTCACCAGCCTGTGATGTGCCCCTGGACATAGCCAAGTGCCAAATGCCCCACAATGGGTGCCATTTGGAGTCTTGACAGGCTACAGAGGCCTGCTTAATCCTATAAGAGGCTTGTCGTATTGTTTTGAGGGGAAGCGTCAGAGATGCTGCCCACCACTATCGTATTGTTTGTTTTGTGTTTCTGCCCATGTCTGTATGTCTGGTGTTTCTTGACCTTCAAGCTGATTTCAGTTTCTGCCTATAGGTCGGTATAAGATGAACCAAACAGTGATCAGAGAGCCCTAAAGCTGCCTGTGGAACAGAGTGATATGCATTCTTTATAAATATAGACAGATATTACTGTCTCTGGTGGGACATGTGATGTGCTGTCTGTATTTTGGCAGTTCACGGGAGAGATTGGCTTTATTAAAGTCCCCGAGAATGATTAAAACAGAGGGTCCTTTGTGAGGCCAAAACATTGCAAAATATTTTGTAACCGTGACCTTTTTGGTGTCAGTCAGTCGATAATAATAGTGTTTGGTGTCTGACGGGTCTTGCTTTTGTAATATCCATGTACATCAATGCCAGTTTTGGCATTTGGAAAACTGGTCAAATTAAAAAATGATAATCTGTCTCTTTCTTTTTCCTTTTTGGCAGCTAATGGCACTGATGATAAAAAGTATAAAGGAGAACGATCTCCTTGTGACCCCTCCCGTGTCCTCCACATCCGCCGAGTTCCCATTGAAGTTTCCGAGGCAGAGGTCATCTCACTAGGAGTCCCTTTCGGCAAAGTCACCAACCTGTTGATGCTTAAAGGGAAAAACCAAGTAGGTGCTCCATTAACCTGCAAACACATCTCTGCCCTTTCTTTCAGCTCTGTAAGCATTTTGCAGCATGACCATTGGAACCTCAGGCATTTAAGAAACACTGATGGGTTTGAAATTTGCCTTTTGAGATTCTCAAACCTCACCTTATGCTTTCATGTGGGTTTAGCAGTGGAATTTCCGGATTAAACGGCATGAATAAGATCAGAGAAAACCAGCATACATATTCCCACTGTTAAAACTCTGTGTAGTTCATCACAGTGTAACTAACATGATTTAGGAAATGTAGGCCTACTTCCTCAGTGGTCATTGGTGTGACAATACCATTGTTTCAGGCATTGTCTTGGACATAAAAAATGAAGCTTATTAATAGTGCTGTCAAACGATTAATCGCGATTTATCCTAACAAACCATACATCAATGGAAAGCTTATTTATTCAGCTTTCAGATAATGTATAAATGTCAATTTCCATAAATTGACCCTTATCACTGGTTTTGTGGTCCAGGGTCACATTTGTGTTACAGTAATGATAATGTAACTTTTTTGCATTATGGTATTGATATAATTTTTTTATGTATATATATATATATATATATATATATATATATATTGTTATTTTGTATTATAAGAATAATTAAATAACTAAGGTTAGTCTTAAAATAGGGATCATTCTCTTTATGCAAAATGTAGTTTTTTTTCCCCCTTTGGACTGAACTGAATTATGACCCTGACATTTCTTTTTTTTCATGAGACTGACCTATAAAAAACCCACTATACTAAGAAACACCATCATCAAAGAATCATTTTGTCTGTATTTTTCCTTTATAAGGGATGGTGAGGACAAGGGTCCAGATCTGGTTTCGCTTCATTAGTGATGGCCAGTGATACTGAAACTGAAGTGTGCATCCTTTCAAACACATCAAGGTCCATCTAATAACAGACGCCCTGCAAAAACACAGCAGTCTCCCGCTTCCACTCGAGCGTCTTTTCATATTCAAATGGAAACTGGCATATTTAGACAAGAAAAGACAGGCAGACAGATTTCTAATGCCCCTTTTGCATAATATGTTGTGTGCTGCTTGATTTGATTGAGGCTTCAAAAGATTCTGTTTATTGTCAGATTCTGCATCTATAAATCTTTCACACCTTGCTTGATGAGGTCAGAATAATTATTAGAGGTGCCTGTTAAGACAAGCATCACTACTGTATTGCTCATGCTTAGGGTTAGTGATTTGAACAATACTTTAACTCGAAGTATTAAACATTGTCCTGCCACAGACACGATTAAGCTTGTTCTATTGTCCATCCATAAGTGCAGAGCAGCACTTATTCTTCATCTCCATTTCTTTTAGCCCACTAATATTTATTTCATTTGCATTAACAGACTAAGAAAAAGTTGGATTAACTGACACCACATATGTGCAATTATCTGGATGCTGTTGTTATCAGGGTTGAGCACTTACAGCATGTCTCTCTTTGCACTACAGGCTTTTATAGAAATGGCTTCTGAAGAAGCAGCAATCACCATGGTCAACTACTACACCACAGCCACACCCCATGTCCGCAACCAGCCCGTCTACATCCAGTATTCCAACCACCGTGAGCTCAAGACTGATAATCTGCCCAATCAGGGGGTGAGAATTACTGTCACTCCAAACACTTTTAAACACCTCTTTCACTGGCATAGTAGGGTTAATGACAGATAACGTTATCCAAGATTATATAAAAACGTACTTTAAAAATAATTTTGTTTAAATTCAGTTCTTAAGTTGCTGTCACGTTTATTGAGGCTTGGCCAAATTTCATGGCTGAAATTCAGTAATTTCAGTAGGAATCTGCATGATCGGGAGTTTTGTGCGAGGATGAAAAAACATGCAGATTTTGCGTTGGTTACACAGATTCGTTGTATTCACCAACCGAAAGCTGCTTGGTTTGAAAGTGACTTCATATATGGCTACAATATTGACATCAGAAATTTGACCCCACCTGTAGATATATACTTTTTGTATTCATATAAGTTTTCATATGTTAGATATATACAGTGGGTACGGAAAGTATTCAGACCCCCTTTATATTAGTATATTATTATAGTGTTATATTTCAATTTCACAAAGAAATGTGCAGCATTTTGTCCAAGCAATAATAAAAGGACACATTTAATTTATAATTTGTCTTAAATCTCATTTTGTAAAAAAAATAAAAATAAAAAATCGTGAATCGAATCGTGAGTTGAGTGAATCGTTACATCCCTAGTATTTATATATACATAATAAATATACACAGTAAATGTACATATATTATGTAAACAAAAACTTTTATTTTGGATGCGATTAATCGTTTGACAGCACTACTTATTAAGATTTATTTTAGGCAATTAAGCATGTTCTCAGTAAAAAAAATATAATATATTATTTAAATTATAAATGTAAACATCATGGGAATTTTTTTTCATGATTTAAAATACTTGTTATTTTTGAGGGTCTAAAACTTTTCACTGAGAAAAATTATTGGATGCATTAAAAAATGCATTAAAAAAACAGAAAAGGATTTCTGGACAGGATGGTATTTGTGACCCTGGACCACAACACCAGTCTTAAGTAGCACGGGTATATTTGTAGCAACAGCCAACAATAGTTGTGTAATAATTGTATGGGTCAAAATGATCGATTTTTCTTTTATGCCAAAAATCATTAGGATATTAAGTAAAGATCATGTTCCATGAAAATATTTTGTAAATTTCCTACCGTAAATATATCAATAGTTAATTTTTGATAAGTTCGCTAAGAACTTCATTTGGACAACTTTAAAGGCGGTTTTCTCTTTATTTCGATTTTTTTTGCACCCTCAGATTCCAGATTTTCAAATAGTTGTATCTCAAATATTGTCCTATCCTAACAAACCATACATCAATGGAAAGCTTATTTATTCAGCTTTCAGATAATGTATAAATGTCAATTTCCATAAATTGACCCTTATCACTGGTTTTGTGGTCCAGGGTCACATTTGTGTTACAGTAATGATAATGTAACTTTTTTGCATTATGG